AGGTCCCCCACGTTTGCATGTCAAGTGTTTCTATGAGTGCTTGTCCCGCTCTGATACCATGATAGAAATAATAGAAGATAAGAACAATATAATATAAGAAGCTTTATTGAAATAGAGAAACTTTAGCTTGAATCTATTAACATGTTCCCTCTCCTATTTATAGGAATTAGGAGGAAGGATTTCCCTAACAGAATAGAAGATTTTCCTCAACAGAATAGAGAAATTTCCTCGTATAGTTAGGAAAATCTTATCTTCTATCAGCAAGAACAGCTCATTTCACATCTCATGAAAAGGATTCAGACACCGTAGCGAACAGTAACTGGTAAACGCCCATCTTTACATGGATGCACAGATGCATATATGAATTCAAAAGACATTGAGCTGTCAGCTTCTTCTTAGGTCAAAAGCAGTAGATTGGAGACAAAAGCATACACTGAGCTGATCATGTATATGTTGCCTTGCACTGGAAAACTACTGCTACATTACGAGAACAATTAACCTACGCATATACAATCATTATGATGATGGATGCAGTGGTCAACGGGACTTCATCCTTTTGTTCTTACAATGGTTATTGTGCCCCTCCCTTGTGTTTGGATCCTTGTGAGGCTTACAACCGCCTTCCCGGAAAGGCCAGGGCCGTCCGGCGACACACAAGGACCGTGTGCGTACTCCCCCACCGGGTGGCGGACAGGCCGTCTCGGGCGCATTAGAACCCTCGCATTGACGTCTTCGAGCGTGACTTCCCCCTCCACTCCCCCGGGCTTCACGACAGCGAAGGGGTGCACCACGATCACCTTGGCCTTGTTCTTCTTGAATTGCCTCATGCCACATTCTAAAACCAGCACAAGAATCAGATCCTGTGCAACGAAAGGAGAACAAGAGCACACTGACCTCTTATGGCAAGCGGTTTATCTTTAGGTGTCGGAAGAGAAGGTTTTGCGTCTCTTGGCTGATGGAGATCCTTTCCATGTGGTTCTGTGGAGGACAGCAGCTCCTCATGGGAGGAGGCGGAGGAAGAGGCGAGTGGCTCTCGTGTGAGTTGTGTCTCGGTCATTTGTGTTTTGGCCTTCAGCATCACGTTCAGTGGGTCATCATCATCTTCACGAATATTGAACCAAACCAAGTCAAGAAGATGGTTCATCAAAAATATCATCCTATTGTCTTTAGTCATTAGATTGTTGGTCTGATCATCCCGTCCACTTTACAGCACCAGCACTAAAATAGGAGAAGTAGATACACGTAGATGTGCGTGCCAAGCTAAACTATTTGGCGAACCGGAAGGGCGTACACTATCAGCCAAGCAAGACAATAAGAAGAAGATAGCGAACGACTCCTATCCATGCGCATGACATGGGGACGGTAGCCAGCTTTCTGTAAGCTCCGTATTAAATCACTTCATTATGGCCTTTGTGATAAGTGGGCTTATGTGACAGAATCACCTTTGTGATGCAGGAGAAGAATGCATTTAACACTCAATCTTACCTGGGACGATAGTATTATCTTGCAGCATGCAGTTCAAATCATGCGTGGGATCTCCATAACAGTTTGAACCCCAAAACCCCTACCAGAGAAGAAGATGGAAGGAGAAAAGATAAGTGGTTGACTACGGGAGTTTAAATAGCAGCAGTGCACATCGCATTAAGCACCATGCATATATAATTGAAGTATGCTTGAAGAAGATCTTGGAGCTCATCGGTCGTGGCTGTCGAATCATGAGTTGGGGACGAAGCTACTCGTCTCCGCTTGCACTGGTCGGTCCACTCTGCCACTGCATCTTGCAAGTAACCGGTCGAGGTCTGCGACGACATGGGAGGCTCCAAAGCTGATGATTGTATCACCCAAAGACATGAGAAGACAAGGCCAGTGTAATTGACAGAAACAAATCGAAGAAGAAAGTGTGTTACCGGATTACCTAAAGGCATGAATTGTGGATCCCAATCCAAGGAGGGTTGGTAGGGGAATGGAAAATGGTTCTCCAAGGCCATCACCTCTCAAGACCAAGTGTGCCGCTGCCTGCTTTCTTTCACAGCGAGATGTTTGCTCTTATAAATAGGAGGCTTTTGGGAAAAGGGGCTGCCGACTTGGAAGGCGAGGAGCAGCCAGTCAATGGACGAGGGAAAGGGAAAAGGTGAAACATAATCTTCAAAGCGACCAACCCAAATGAAAGGTGGTGCGGGTTTCGTCTCTTTCTCGTGATTCGCTACGTTGATCTCTCTCTCTCTCTCTCTCTATTCTTTGTTTCATGCTGTGGAAAAGCTATTGCTGAGTCCTGTGGAACAATTAACTACGTTGCATGGGTTTGGTGGGGAACTAAATTTACGGAGAGGAATCATATGATCTGAAATCCCAGAGGAGGGGCTCCACATAATAAATACCAAAAATTGATTGAAGTTTCAAACAGGTAACACTGAGCTGGAATGATCGGCTTATTCATTGTTGTGATTTGACACATAAGTCAACACATTTTGAATTAGTAGTTACATCTATTATTGAGGATTATATCTGAAATGTGAGCTAAGCAATGACCTCCACGAATCATTCTGACACTAATTGCTATTACTCCGTTACTCATGATTGGCCCAAAATAATCATGTGGTTTAAGCTTATAATTAATTAATATTTTGTAAATAATTTATAATTTCCAAAATTATTTCCAGAGCACATATGATTAAATTTGGCTTGCTTGTGCTGATGTCAGCGTGACAACGGCGTTGCGTCCAGTTGGCGTGTGCATACGTGGTGCGCAAAAGTGGTTGCTCTTGATTCGCGTTTTGCTACCGAGTTAAGGCGTTTGTTACCCTTCAATCCTGAGCACGAAGCGAACGGGCACAGAGGGCGGACCCACACAGTTAGCCAACCATCACACGGATAGAGACGTGGGTAGGGTCAGGCGACCACGTCAGCGGTAAGACGATCTCGACCGTCCGATGGGAGGATGCTGCTGCTCTTTTAAGGCAACGCCAGAAAGCAAAAGGGCTCCGAAATCAAACGGCTGCCACGGTTCCAGCCAAGTACAGCAGAAGCAGGGACCACGAGAGATGGCCACCAAAAGATCATCATCCTCACAGTCTCAGGTGGTCCTAAAAGCCATCTTCCTCTTCCATTTTCACTTTTGTCACCCAGCGCAGTCTCGCCCATCCATGGCGGAGAACAGAGCCGGAGGGGACGAGGAACCGGAGGAGGCGGTGATGGCGGTGGTGGTGGGAGCCACCTGTCCCCCTTTGCCACTCGTCCGTCCACCACCTTATCGTAGGGTAAGTACGGGCAAGACCACGTGGCTAAAGCGTTCCGGAAGCCTCGTGATTCGCGCTAGGCACGAATTCCTACGACTCCAAATTGGATGGGCCCCGTGGCCTTTATTCTCTTCCTATCCAGCGGCGACATGGCGCTTTACGCTATCGTGCTTCGATGGGAGATAAAGCGCAGAAAGCAAACCACGGCTTCATCTTTTCAATGGCTTAAGTCATATATAATATATATAGTGTTAAGTGTCTTCATCCCTGAGGAGGAAGGATTCGGCCATTAACGTTCGTGGGGGCCAAAACAGTATGCAGTTCGCTGGCGAAACACAGAAAGGCCGACACAATCATCTCCAATGATACGTCCGAAGCATCCACACTGAGCTGCGAGAGGGCCTACTCGTTGAAACCCCCGAGAACTTTGAGCTGGACAAACGTCAAAAGAAGACGAAGCCGTAGTGGAGAAGGCTTCCGACGTCGGTACAAGTACTCTGCCACTGTGCTCGCAAAGCCATTGGAGGCAGACCCAGGGAGAACTTTCGCTCGACGCGTAGGAGGACAGAGCTCCTCAGCCTCTCTTTTTTGGTTCATCTTTTGACTGGAGGCAGCAGTGTTGATGTTTCTGCAGCAACATTTTCCAGGACAAGGTAGCTGCTGAGTCAAGGAAAACGCAGTCCCCGGCTCACGTGATGTTCTCGTCTTGATATGGTGTTGTTTCTGAATCGTTCTGCAAAGGCAGAGTAGTGTTCCGAGTTGCAGATGCTGGGAATGGAGATTACAAGGCTGGAGACAACAGCAACACGATAAAAGTTCATGATTTAATGCATTTGGCATGTTCATCATAATGCAAAGTAGGTTTTGTTTGATTACTGATCTCAAGAAAAAGTAAGATTTGTTTACGATAACCAATCTAACATAAATGCACTTTATCTAACCTGAAATAAAGAGTTGTATTGGCACCCTATCATCTATATATATTTTTAACTCTAAAAAGAAGGTTCTTTTTGCTTCTCTCTTAGACTCTCTCCACGTTTGAGTTCCACAAACTTAGATATGGAAGGACCAGAAAAAATCCGACACCTGTCTTCTACAATCACCTCCGAAGAGCTTGGCACCTCGAGAACCTCACCTTGGCGCATCGAAGATCCGACTTCGATCCTCGTCCCTAACATTGCGGCTTAGATCGGAGTTGACCTTCATCCATTTCGGGCTCGGAGCAAATCAGTCAGCCTCATCACTCTTCATTCTTTTCTATATATCAAAGCAGTAATCCAACTAAAGCTTTCACTAAATCCACCAGTACTGTGAATAATACTTCCCTAAGGAACGAGTTACGAGTCATAAGGTTCATGACCGAGATCGTTTTCTCTAGATGTCGAAGAACAATAGAATCTGCAGTCGTACAGGAATCATTGTGAATGAGAGAGACAGACTCCGCTGCTCACACCAGTATAAATCTGGGCTCTGCGTCAACAGCTCATAGATCGACGATTCTCCATCTCACCACTCAACTGCTGTCACTAATAAAGATGTCAGTCGAAGCGAAAGTGAGCTCCAATGCTAACATTCTGCTTCTGTCTCCCTTAATATCCGTATGTAGATCTCATTTCTGCATGCAGAAAGTTGTGGTGAAAGTGGGCGTCCATGATGGCCAGGATAAGAGAAGGGCAATGGAAGCTGTTTCCAGCTTTAAAGGTAAAAGCTATCTCTATCTTTCGCTCAACCTTTGGAGAGCTACGAATTCGATCGTACAAATCCTTTGTGCATAACGGCGGACTTGAAGAACAAGAAGCTCACTGTCACCGGAAACGTCGACCTCGTGGATGTGGTGAGAATGTTAAGGTAACACTGGTGCGCAAAAGAACCAGAGAAGAAGACGGCAGAACCCAAGAAGGAGGAGGAGGGGTGAGGGCGCCATTGAGGCCGCCAAGGCATGCAAAGCGGAGTATCATTTTGTCATATACTCAAATTATAGATGTTTTCACTAAGCCACTTTAAAAGACATTCCTATGGATTTCATTCATTAATACAAGTTGGACATCCTAAACATTCATTCTCCAAATTAAATGGAGCATGAACAAAATAACAAATTAAATGAATGATTCTCCTAATTGATTGAGATAATATTTCCCTACCAACTATTACAACTTGGAGATTTTCTACTAGCAATCAACATATCTATATCTACCTTATATGACATGGACACAAAGTGAATATAATTAATGTGAATACATAATGTTGACGTACATTAGACAACATATTATCTAAAACTTGTACATATGCCTGTATATACTTATCGAAGATTCAATAAAAATTCACTTACTTGCACCATTATATGCCAATCCTCTACATATCTTGGTTTGTTCTCCACAAAAGATGTCATCGGAAGCAAAGGTAAGTCCCAGTGATAGCAGTCAAGTTATCTCTCCCCTTCTATTTCTCTCACTAAATTCCCATACGCACATCTCATTTCTGCATGAAGAAAATTGTGGTGAAAGTGAACATCCATGATGAGGAGGACAAGAGACAGGTGATAAGAGCCACTTCCAATCTTATAGGTAAAAACTCGCTCCATTCACTAAACCATCTTTGGCTCAATCTGTAGAGAGCTAAGAATTCTTTTGTACTACGAACAGGAATCGATACGATATCGGTGGACTTGAAGGACAAGAAGCTCACAGTCATCGGAAGAATCGACCCCGTGCGGTTGACGAGAAAGTTAAGGAAACACTATCACGCTGAGATCCTCTCGATCCGCTCGGAGAAAGAAGAAGAGAAGAAGGAAGAGCCCGAGAAGAGTGAGGAGAAGGAGGAAGGAGCGGAGAAGAATAAGGAGGCTGGTGCGGTCGCCAGTGCATGGAATGGTTACGATCCGTTTGTGTTACCGCACTACGTCCCGATCACCGAGGAGGACCCAAATGGCTGTGTGGTTATGTAGTTCTTCGTGTATTTGGTGAGGCGGCCACTGATGGCCTGAGGTGGCGCGAGTGTTCCGAGGCCGAGAGGAGACGACCTCCGCATAGGACGTATTAGAAGACTCTTTTGAGTAATTTACATATGACATCTTTTTTTTCCTGAAAAAAATAAAATAGATTATCTATCGATACTTCAACAAGTCATCACATAATCGGCATAATTTACGAGTAACATTCGACGATCATATAAAATTATTCTCGAGAATCAACTCTTTTAGCATACTTTTCTTTTAAATTACTAACTTAAGCGTAAGAGGAATTTTTGTTGAGCTCGTTCTAACGTAGTACTTATTAACTTCCGACACCAATCTAGTGACAAACTCTAACTCCAAATCTTCGATATTTCAAGCAATCTTGTTCTACTTTTAACATGTATTAATTATAATTTTCACTAGCATATGTTTTAGATCACTGAAATGGAGAATTATAATTCTTGACTTGAAACCACATGAACTAATTAAGCCCCTGTAAAGAAGCATATTTTGAGACTACATTTTGTTGCATCAATTCCAGTTTTAGGATATTTAAAATGCTTACTAGATATTCTTATCAAACTATTTTGAAATATCTCCAACATTCATGCTCTAATTCGAAAGGGTGTATAAGAAATAACAATGCATTGGATAAATATGACAAATTAAATGAAGGATTTTTTTTTTCTTTTTCGAATGATCGAGACAAGAAATTTCCTTCCAACTATACCATATCATAGATTTTCTTAGTATGAACATATCTATATGTACCTGAATACATACATCTTATATACATTAGACAAAATATTCCTTAGAACTTGTACATGCATCTGTGTACCCATTA